TACATGATCCCTGCCTCCTCTTCCGGTAACCAGCTCTTATTTTGTCTTGACACTTCCTGTTTCAGCCTACTCTCACTCCAGGTTACTTTAGTTCATCACACCAAATATCTTCACCTGTGCAAATTGAACACACCTGTGTAAGCCCTGTTATAAGCAGCTCCTTCCCGCAAAGGAGTTGCCAGATAGTTTTGACTATGTGCTTGATTCTCTAGCCTTTCTGTATCTCTTTTGCCCTTGTGAAACCAGACCAGACTCTTGATTTTGTACCTGGACTATGTCTCAGTCGTGCCTCTGAAAGACCTACCTTGCCCTTGTAAAGACTAAGTTATGTATTTTTCCTGTCCCTCTGGATTGCTGGAGTCACTTGGCCTCTGAACTGAAATTCACGTCTGTGAATGAAGAAGTGTTTCTTACCTCATGGATTCTGTCTAAATGCAGGAGTGCCTCCACATGCACCCAAGTGAAACGGGGCCACTCATGCACCCAGTACTGCTCTGCACCCACTGCTGGCACCCATCCCTCTTCATCTCCCCTTCAGTCAAGAGTTGTGTACTCCACTTCCTCCTCCCCAGGCCTCCTGCTACTTAAATCCCTGTACACCTGAGATTAGACGCCACCCTGTCCTAATCTTCTCTGCTCACTGTGTTAATAAAGACTCTTACTCACTACTAGATATACTGGCCATATAATTGGGTTCACCACATAGTACTGTAGTTTCCACACTGCCCCAACACAGCACACACAAAGCACTTTCACACTACTTGGCCATTCACACAACGGTGTCAAATATGTCTCGTTCTTCGACATGTTAACCGGACAGGTAGGGAAATGAACTGCTATTTCCCCGGTTAGGAGATGAACTGCTCTTCTTGTCTGTCAGTAAATTGTATTGAAGCTTTAAGAATGACACAGTGTGCTTGAACTGTGTTTTGATGGAGCTCTGAGCAACTAGGGGCTGATTCAGAGACAAGGCATTGTGGGTACATAATTGCAAGACTTAACATATTGCGCTAGGTTTTATTTCATAGGTTTTTTTTTTTTTAAGTACAGGACAATCAGAATCTTTATTGGCCAGGTGTGTCAGACACACGAGGACTTTGACTCTGGTACATCGGCTCTCAATGTGTATGTACATATCCCCAAGTAAACAGTAAACCAGCATAAGGCTGTCGGTAACGTACGGTGAGGTTGACAGCTGGTGAGGCACTGACTCTTTTACAGTCAGATTTACAAATACAAATGAACCGTTAACAAATTGTCTGTTAACAGACAATGCGTTGTGTTTTATATCTCATATCAGCATTCTTCACACAAACGTGACCCATATTTAATTTGAGGTTAAAATTTATTCCAGTTGAGTTTATTTCTAACTAGAAATAATAAAAGTTTATGGTCTTACCTTTACTTGTACACGAAATCCATTTGTCAGCTGGTATGTATTACAAACCCTTTTACCGTTCGAATCCAATATTAAAACAAATGTTTTCAATAAAGAAGATCCTTCTGGACAAAAATGTCCAGACTGTCAAAAATGTTTTGATTGAAAGTCCAGATTTGCGAATTTTCTCAGCTTGGAAATGTAATCTTCCATTTTGATAAGGCGGATTGTAAAGGAGATATAAACAAGCACGAAGAAGATTGTAGGTAGCGCAAGAATCTGTGGGCTCACTAGCGCCCTCTGCCTTGAGGCAGGGGTACTGTTTGCCTCACCGAGTAACTTTTTTACTGGGTTTTATGGTTAATCTGCGAGCCTAAACACGTTACAGAACTACATTTTATACATTATCCAGATTATGGCAAGGCAGAGCATATAATCAGAGTGTTAGAAAGCATTTTATTTGCGATATATAGAGGGACAGTGACACACTATTTGCATCGCATACAGTTTGTGAGGATTACACGATTCACCAAGAGGCACAGCAAAGTGCTGCCTCACCGCGCATCTCCTCCATGCATTTGAACGGGATATACGGAAATTCTGCTATTCTTTATTGAAAGAAATTCCTTCAACATCGGATTCGAACGGCAAAAGGGCCTACAACACACACCAGCTGACAAATATTAACATTTATTATATTTTATGGTTAACTTTTTTTTCTTTTCTTTCCCCTGCCTCCCCTGACCGCACGTCACTGATGGCTGTGTGATATAACAAAATAAGCAGTATTAACAAGCAACAGGCAGTGCAAACAAAGCAAAAGCAGTATAAACAGGCAGTAAACAATGCAGACAAAGGAATGCTCATTGAAATGATATAAATAGGAATAAAAACAGTACTTAAAACTAGAGACCTGTACTAATCTGTATGAGGTATATTTACAGTGAGGGTTATTGTTCATAGTGTAGGATATAAATCCTTGTGACTGATCCTTCTCTGAACACGTGATAAATGTTTATCAAATTTCTAAGAATGAAACAAAAGAATGCTCTAAAAGCATTTACCATGGTGTGATGTTGCTGTTCCTTTTCATAACACTTAAAAGATGTTTGGGTCTCCGTTGATGCAGTTTGTGTTTCAAAATACCAGAGACCATGACCGACCCTGGCTTTTGGACTTGTTGCTGGTAAAAGTCTGGGTGGTCCTTTTTATCTTTGGTCTGGAGCACATGGTGTCCATTCATTCCAAAGAAGACCCGTACTGATTGGTCTGATCACAGTACACATTTCCTCTGTGTGATGCTCCATCCCAGATGCCTCTGAGCCCAGAGCAGTCGACTGCACTTCTGGACACTGTTAACACAGGGCTTCCTTTTGGCACAGTACAGTTATAATTGGCATTTAAGGATGTAACTACGTATTGTAGTGCCTGACACAGGTGTGCCAGAGTAATTCCTGATCCCATGTGGTTATTGCACTTATAGAAGAGTGACGATTCTTGATGCAGTGGCGTCTGAGGGACCGTCCTAACTTTTTCTGATTTGGGGTTGTAGTACTGGTAAATATTAACAAACCTTTAGAGTCTTTTTTTTAAGTCAAAAGAAGTTTGATAGACAGTTTTGATTCTAAAGTTTAGGTCTTCTAAAAGAAGGATTTTTACTTTAACCTTTCAAAAATGTCAAATCACCATATCATAAATGCTACATTATTTGCATTAATGATTAATATCAAGATGGAAATTTTGTATATACTTTTACTGCACTAGTGACATTTTGGGTTAAAACGCTGGTGCTGAATTTAAGGGGTAACAAAAGCTAATAGCAATAAATTCATAGATCAAAAAAGGTATTTTCAACAATCAAAAAACTCGTATCAGCTTGACAAAGGCAGCTTCTATACTCGCACTCAATGTGGAAGACCAAAAGTCAACACTAAGTGGCAGCATAGTACAAGAAAACATGCTTCCTGGTTCTGCATATTGAAGCAGAAATGTATTGCAAAATGCAAAAACAGCATAAGGAACTTAAACTTTTCTAGCACCGATGTAACTGTCACATCCACGCTACATAATACACTTTTCAGGACTGATGTTTGACTTCACATTGGAATAGGAATAAAGGCTGTGTTTCAGTTTCCTTATTAACAACTTTCTATAAATACTGTATATTAGGGGCATTGCAAGTGACAGAGCTACATAAACAGCTCTAGCTATTCCTTCAGCTTTAGACAATAAAACCCTTTCATTTATAGATACTGTATATGTTTATATGGAGAAGCAAAGGTCATTAATTAAAGACATTTTAAATGACACCAAAAAGAATGGTGGACTTGTTATTCTGAGCTTTGAAAAATATAACTATACATTCAAAATAAATTGGTTAAGTTGATAGAAGATGAAGATAACACGTGGGATACCTTCCCAAAATCAAAATATCTATTTAATTTGATGGGAGGAATTAAATTTCTTTTTAAATGTGACTATAATACCAATAAGTTGCCTGTGAAACTTTCCAATTTTCACAAACCAGCCCTACTTTCTTGGAAACTAGCTTATAACCATAATTTTTCCCCACAGAAAATGTTTATATGGAATAATCAGAATGTTCTGTGTAGGAATAAATCTTTGAAAGGAAATGGTTTGATAAGGGTAAAACACTGATAATTTTTTAATATATAATGAGTTTCAGACAAATGTAACACAACAGTTACACTGGAAGAAGACACATTGTTTTTTGGGTCTTTACCAAAGGGCATAGTCCAATTCTTTGAAAATTCATGGTGCATTCAACTCATGGTGCAAATATGCACCCTTTGATATAAACTGTATATTAGGAAACAGAAATATTATTAAAGAGAAATACCCATATAAATAAGAACTTTTATGCAGAAGGTGATGTTGCCAAGAAAAGATTTTTGGACTTCTCGTTATGAAGGATTGAACGGGCAAAAGAAAATCCATGGTTGGTGATAAATACTGTATCAATAACAAAGAAAAAGAGGTGTCTTTTAAAACCTTGCACTAGATATACCCAGTCAAAGATATATCAAAGATTTATTCTGATTGATTATTTCTGTGGTCTAGTAAGAGAAGCAATTTCTCATTTGTTCTTCCATTAAATCTATACCGAGATATTTTGAACAGGCATTGAGCATTTCATTTGGATAAAATCTAGGCAAAGGATCCATCTACAGGAAAGAGAAATTATTCTAGGCTTTGTAGATAATTTGATGGACAATGATATTATTTTGTGCAATTAACCATAATTAAAAGGAAATTTTGCATGCATAAAAAGAAATGGATGAATTCCACATTGAAACCAAACTTGGAACACTTTTTTCATGAGCTATATGACCATGACACTACATTCAAAACATTAAGAATAAAAAAAACGCTATAAAATGTAAAACTGTGTTATATTTGATCTATGTATATGATTGCTTTTTTTACTTTGATCCCCTGGGAGAAGCAGTGTTGTTGTATATATTTTGTACTTTGTGTTCTTTGTTAAATGAAGTAGCCTTGTAAATATCTATAAGCAACTCAAACAAACACTCCATAGATAATAATACATTCACGAAATACCCACAGATTTCTGTGACTAAAGAGTTGAAGTCGCATGATCTGAAGTGGGAAAAGGTCTGGCTTTTACCTAATCTTTACTTAGTAACTAATAAGATAAAAGAGGTTTCTTTTAAGCTTATTCACAGAGTTTATCCAGTGAAAGTTTATTGTAAGAGGTTTAGAGTAGATATTGACCCTATGTGCACTTTCTGTGGTAATTCCCCTGAGACTGCTGTTCATTTATTTTGGTATTGTCGTTTTATAAAAACATTTTGGTTTGACTTTTGTGATTTTATACATATAAATATTGATAAGGATTTTATTTTGTACTGGAAGAATGTTCTGTTTGGTTGCTTAGAAACACGATTCTCATCTCATGTATATGTCTGTAACTTGTTAATTTTATTGGCTAAGTTTCATATTCACAAATGTAAATTCACCTTTATTCTTGGTCTTTTTAACAGAGTTCAAACAATACATTTCTTAAATATTTTTTTATGATAATACAAAGGCCATCAAAACAATTAATTTATGCACCTTATTTAAAATTCCTGGTTAGATAATACCCCCCCTAGCTTTTTTGTATTCTTTGTCTTTCTTTCTTTATTTGTTTCTATTCTGGTTCGGTGGATGTATGTTGAATACACTCTTATATCTTTGTATCTTTGGATGACAGTACTGTATTCTTCTTGTTGAATAAAGTTTTTAAAAAAAGAGTTGAAGTCGTCATCTAAAAAAATATGACGTAAAATACCGGAAATCAAACAGAATTCGCATCGGAAGTACGAGTTTCGTTCAAAATAAGACCAGCATTTTTGTTTCTTTATAATTTTGGGGAAATTAGACACTCATAAGAAGAAAGGGACATACTCAAATCCAAATTTCGAGAAACCATGTTGCTAAATTCCTTGCTTTTTAAATAGGCCATGTTTTTCTGAGTGGCATATGCATCTCCCCGTTTGGCGGATCCGTGGTGGTCACGTGATTTTTGGTGTATGCTATAACATTAGCCGCTGGAGTCGAGGTAGTGGTTCCCAATCGAGTCTAACACCACTAGCTAACTAAAGTATAAGGTTAAGGAGAATACAATGGATTTCAACGTGAAGAAATTTGCCTCCGGTGCTGGGCTGTTTTTCACAAGAGCTTTTCAGGTATTGACTTGCGCTGAGGCTACAATGTTCTGTGGTTCAACTGATGCTTTCTTTCATTTTTGATTACCAGCTCTAACCTTTTCTGACCAACCTCACGGTTTAGTATTTCACCTCGCGGTTCTGCTTTCTTGAGCTAATGTTTGACCGTATAGTATTAGTTGCTTGATATTTTGCTGCGTCTTGATAATAGTTTAGGCCTACGTTGTAATTAAACACAGCGCTGTACGGCGGCGTACTGCTGCCACCTTGACAAAAAATATTACCAGGTACTGAGTAAATTCCCAACCATGGTGGCGTCAATACGCTGTGACAGCTTTGTTTTCCACTAACGATATATTTTAACGCAAACTAGCCTGTAAGTCGTGAGTTTAAAGTGACCATGGCTGTACCAGATGTATTACCTTTTATTGATTTGGATGAGTTTGATGATGATGATGACGGGGAAGGAAAAGGATGTCAGCTGAGCCAGAACATCAACCAGACCTTTCGTGACGTCACGACATGGCGTTGATTTAATAGGTTTTATAATAACTGCTGAAATCCCGCAGAGTCAGAAAGCATTGTGTTTCGGGTGCTCACTTGTTTGAGCTGTCCATTTGCTCTGCCTCAGTTCACAGAAGAGAAGCTGGGGCAGGCGGAGAAGACTGAGTTGGACGCTCATTTTGAGAACCTGATGAGCCGCGCAGACTGCACCAAACACTGGACTGATAAAATATACAGACAGACTGAGGTCCTGCTGCAGCCCAACCCAAGTATGACATCAAACTAACAATCCTATAATTAATGGTGGAAAGA